CTTACTTGGGAATGAAGAAATATAAATTATATTATTTGTTATTTTAAGCCCGATTAAGTAGTTATAGTGAACTGAAAATGTCGAAGAAAATGAAACCCATATTTACGCCTTCTAGAGAATAGTCACAAAGACAGAACAATCGAAAAGTCTAACACAGCCTTATGGATTTTTAAGAGTTTCGTTGGCAAGACTAGGGACACAACTCCCTAGCCCCCTCCAAGCATATTCGAAATCGGGTTCGTAATACTACTATTTTCTTCACTAATAATACCAAAACAAATTGGGTAAATCTCACTGCCCTTTGATTCTACTGGGACGATGAGGAGATTTCCATATGCATTTTCTGGTACAGATGGTTTAGACGGAAGCGCTCTCAGTCTAAAGGAATTCATTTCCAATTCCTTAAAAATTATCTTTATGTATTTATTTGGAACCTGTATACTGTTGGTAAGGATATATGGGATTGCTGTAATAAGTCATGTTTGGATGCGATGGCAAAATAAATAGATCCTTCTTAGCTGACAAGTCTCTTCAAAAATCTACAAACTACCCCATCTACGTAAAAACTACACAACAGGAGACAACCTGACCTGATATGATAAAAACATCACAATCGTAACGTGGGTTCCAGGTCGGTGGCTAGTGGTTAATGGAAATTCATACTATTCAAATTGATATCCTGCAAAAGTCCTTCAGTTTTTCATCTTCGAGATTAAGAGTTAACAGAAACGGGATAAAAACAAAGCTTATAACAGTAGTCTTGAAACAAAATCCAGGTTTACATTTTTATAATTCATTATAAAAAGGCTTTCAGAGTTGTGTTTTAATAAGGACTTTAAAGCTTATATAATGCATACATCATTGAAATCCAAATTTCATTGAAAAAGTGGCGTGAGAATTTCACATTCCAATTAAAATTTTAATTTGTTTCTTAATTAGAAATTACTAATTGCTATCAAATTTATAATTGGCATGTTCTTCACAACTTGTTTAAGATTTCTGCTACTAACATAGTTTCTCTTATATCACTTATGTGAATATCTATAAGAATGTATATAATAATATATAATCATTCCAGGTGATTATTTCATTATAAAACATTATTCATCATATTAGCTACAGGTGCCGGTTTCCATATTTTATATATTTTGAAGTGATCAACTCCATATTTACAAAATTAAAACATCATTCAAACTAATATTCTATCCATGCCATATTCTTTTAATTATACATACTAATCATTCTCAAATTGAAATTTTCAATAATTTTACATAATCTTCTAACTACAATTTATTAAAAACAAAAAAAACGAAGCACAATTTCATGTTTATTGTTACGCAAACAAAACACTTGTATGCCACACTTTTTCTTTTCTACCTACACTTTTGACAGTACTTGTCATTTTTGAATTCCAAAAATGTTTAATTCCTTTATGTAATCAAATCCAATAAAAAAAAACAAAATTTTTGCACTACAAATTTCCGAAATGAAATTAAAAAAAAAATTGATGAGACAAAGATGACCGCCAATTCTTCTTTTTATGCTGATTATTATGACTTTTCATATAATGTGATCGATTTAAATAAAGTAATGAAATCATAAAATATGATTACGGCTGTATTTTTTTTTTCAAAATTCCAAAATAGGATGCTGTTGTATTTAAGATGGTTAATGAAACATTTACAATATATATTTCTAACTTAATAACCGATTATTAGAGAGATTCGTGTTTGTTGCATGGAAAACTAAATTTAGTAAAATAGAAAAAAAAAATTAAGAGCTACATAAAAGAGCTATATGTATATAAGAGCTATATAAAATTTGTTGAAATTTAGTTTAATGAAGCAAAAATCTAGTTGATAATATTGCAAAGAGAAATTTGACAAGAATCGTTGAAAACTAATTAGATTGAGGATTTTACAATTTAATCAAACCGTTCATGCTATGTCAGAAATTCTATGCCTTTTACCAGATACTCAAAAGTACTTTCGGAATTCCGCATTTATACCTTAAACGGGAAATTGTACTAAGAAGTCAACATTTGATTTATATAAAAGAGAAACGAAAACAAATTTCGTTCTTACCGGTCTGATATAAAAAATTTTACTTCAGGATTAAAAGTCAAATTCATATACTATCTGTATAACACTTAATTATAATCAAAATTTTGAAAAAATTTGTTGAATAAAATTCAGAATTGAAAGCATTGGGCAGAAGAAAGTTAAAAAGAATTTTTGTTAAATTTTCGAAAAACAAACACCTTAAATTTATTAAGATAAAAAATATTTATTAAAAAAGGCTTGGTCTATTAAATTTTGTAATTTCGTTAATTTTAATTCATTGTGATCTACTCATATTCTACTGTCTTTTGAATTTGATCTGCAAATGTACAGAGTACAGGCAAGGCATTTTTACATTCACAGTAACTTTTCAACTTTAGAATAACTTAAAATGGGTCAATATTCTTAAATTTTTTCAATTTATAAAAAAAAATCACTAATTTTCGTATTTACTGTTCCAATTTTGTTTTATCAACTTAAAACTTTCATAATTATGAACATTGCAATTACAGATTCTTTTATATAAACTTAATTAATTTTACAAAAAAAAATATTGTAAAACTTAACACCTTTCAGATTATTTTTTGTGATGACAAATCAAAAATTTAATTGCCAAAATTTCTCGTAATCATTAAGTGTACAAATTTTCATTTAACATTTAACAATAATTACGATAATTTGTAAAAATTTCTTTGTGTCTTACAACGAACAATAAAAGAAAACAAAATGGAAAAATTAGAACGATGAAAGTATTTAAGTAAACTTTAGAATAAATTCACCAAATTAAGAAAAATGCCGGATTTGAGAATATCTTATATACCTATTTATGACAGAAAAAAAAATATATATGCGACATTATATATTTGAGCTGACGTATAAAAATTTAAACGATCAACAGAACAAACAGAAGAAAAATCGAAAAATAATAAAAAACTTTTACAAAAGGTGAAAAATTAAAGTGGCGTACCTAATTATCGAAAGAGCAAAAAAAAAATAAAAACAAAAATAATAACAATAATTGTGTGACTTTTTTATCACCTTTACAACACAAAATGAATACAAAATCCTACATATGTATAACAAAAAGTAGGAATGCTGATAAACTTACAGATTTTTATTTAAGTACATGAATTGTAAAATCACTTGCTATTTATAATAAAATCCCTTTATGTGTGAAGTTTTAAGTCCGGTATTATAAATTTTGATTGAAACATGTATAACTTGTTAAGTTAGTTGAGCTTTAAAAGCTTCATGTTTTTATTTAGATTCAAGAGATATTTTGTTAAAACAATGAGTATTATTTATTGAATTTGTTGAGGGCTATCTTAAAAAAAATAATTATTGTAATATACCCAAATATTACAAGTTGCAAATTTAGAAATTTATGTACAAAAACTAATGTCGTCATCGACTTATCGCGCTTCCTCATATTAAATATAAAATATATTTAATTCATTAAGTAATCTAAAAGTACTCTAAGTTTAAAATTTCCTTAAAAAAATTTCCATTACCATTAAGTTAACGACTTTGATAACATTAAATATAAAATAAAGATAAAATATAAATATTTAATCGGCAAACGTGGTATTCCCCGAAAAAAATATTATTCATAAGAAATTAAGAATTCCTGTCTGGTTGTATATGTGTACGTGAAAATTTGGAATTCATTTAACTGTAATTCGATCGTATTGAAATTTCAATATTATAAGATAAGAAGCAATTTAAAATGTCAATTCATAAGTTTATAAGATTTCATAGGCTGGTTATCTATTAAAAAATTCAAGGCATTTTCAACTTACAAAAAATTTATAAAATTAAAATAAATTTACCAGGTTTTTTTTATAGAAAATAATAAAAGATGTAATTATGCTTTATACTAAAATGAATTTGTTAGTATCAATACTATTGTCTTTCGATATTTATATGTTTGGCTGAGTAATATACATATGAATACTGTCTTAAGTTTTACTAAGGTAGTGAAACCTCAAAATTTATGAAGAAAATGCGCCATAAAAAAGCTAAGAGCTAAACTCAATATTTTTAAGCTCATAGTAATAATGTAGACATAATAAGTAAGAGTTCCTTCTGATCCGGCTTAACCACATAAAACACTCACTCTTTATACAATTATTGAACAATATATTACTATGATGAACATGAACAAGCGTTATTACGATATTTATTAATTAAAATATATTGAATTTCGTCATTTAATCATTATAAAATTTTAAAATTTAAATTATTTATTTTTTAAGAAATTATTATAAAAGCTCAACCAATGTATAATTAATGACAACAATTTTGCAAATTGACTCGTAATATTATTAAAAAAAATATTGAGAGAATTTCTCTTCTTTAGAATTAAAACAAAATATTTATAACAATAATAAATACAACAAAAATATGAGTAATCAAAAATCATAACATAATAATGTCAATTTTTCGCAGAGAAAGAGAATTTCCATATAAACATGTTTTCTGCAAAGCATTTATGTTAGTATAGTAAACAGTATTTACAGAAATAACAAAACAAAAGCTCAGCTTAAAATAATAATAAAAAATTAAGCAGTCAGATTCAGATTTATGCTTATCAGCTGTTTGACTACTAATTTAAAGAGAGTGGCTTATATGAAACATAACAAAGAAAAGTTAGAGCATAAAACAAAGTTTAAAAGTTCGATATTTTTCTTTGCTCTCCTTTTTTTTTATTTTTTTGTTTTCATTGCTTATCTATTTCTCTTATTATGTTATGCTCAATTTTCAATATCTGTCGGTTTACCTGTTATTATTATTTTTATAATTTTTTTTTGCTTTTATTCTTATTAATACCGTAGATTGGTTAAAGAATGCTATTTTGTTTTGAAATTGAAATTGAATTTTTTTATCATTAAAAGTTGAAACACTGATCGATTATTGTTTCAGTTTTGTTCTTGATGTTGAGTAAATCGGTTCGGTTGGTCCGGTATTTTCTTTTTTTTTTTGTAATACAAAAGTATTGAATACACAACTTTTTTTTTTAAATTTTACTTTCATTTTGGAATTATTTGAGGCGAAGAAGGAAAAAAAAAAGAATTCTAGCTCTGAAAAAAATTAGCGGTTAAAACGGAACACGATTTATAAGCAACATAAAAGAATTATAAAACAAAAAAATATAATTAATTTGAAAATAATAAAAATATTTTAATTAATTAATTTAATAATCGATTTTGTGTTTTAAATATAAAATAAGAAGAAGAAAAAAATTTTAATTTAATTTATTTAAATCGCATATTATGTATGTATAAATTTTAGAAATTAAAAGCGTGTCGTAAATTTAGAACAAATTTAATAAAATAGAATAAAAAATAAATTTTGGACAAAAGTAATTAATATAATTTTCAAAGAGAAAATCAAACAATCTAAATATAAGAAATACTTAATATAAAAATACTTTTAAAAAGTATAAAAAAAATATCCTAATCAAACAAGTTTATTAAAATTTTTCGATAATTTTTTCCTCTTAAACAAAAGCTAAAATATTTTAATTCTATATTAATAGAAACAAAATCTAAATTTTCGAAATAATTTTTAAAACAAGTTTTTTTTTATAATTCGTATCTATATTATAAAAAAAAGTCTATAACAAATATATAAAAATTATTTCTTGAGAAAAAAAAGAAAGAATCTTGAATACTAGAATCAACCAGCTTTCGAATATTTCGGAAAATATTTAAAGAAGAAGAACACACAAAAAAAATCAAGGATTAAAGGAATCAATCAAGACTGACAATTTTTTTTATCATTCAATAAAGGTAAGTTCTGTAACTTAAAAACTTATGATTAGTAAAAAATAGTTTCGAAATACCGATATATGTACGCATTTAGAAGAGAAATTGCCCGCCACAAAAAAAAATATAACATTATAATCGAAAAATTTTTGTGATTTTAAACAGTTCGTCTTATGATCGTTTAACGCTAAAATAACAGTATAAGATTTTTATACATGAACCGGCGTTTATATCGGAATATAAAACTGATTTTCCTTTTACTGTTACTGGACAATTAAAACAATTCTAAAAAAAATAAAAAAAAACACAAAATCAAAAAAGATGGCCAAAAAAATTATTCTGAAACGGCTTTGATCAAATAAAGAAAAAAAAATTTTTGGTAGAGACGCTTAAGAATATTTTTTAAATTCCTAGTCAATGTCAACTGTTTTAAAAACGCACATTATCTTTAGAAATTTATCTACATTTTATAGAACCCGATTATTCCTATAACTATTTTTGCTAAAAAGCCTTAACTACTATAAAATTTATTTAAAATTTAACCTATTTCATTGACCTTATTTTCATAACATCTTCCCTAAAAAATAAAGCTAAAAAAAACTAAGTAACAAAGAATATAAAAAGCTTTCATTCTCATTTAAAATTTTAATTATTTTAATTAGATAAACGATACTTAAAACAAAAAATGCCAACACAAAATTAGTTAAAAATTTTTGTAAATGATATCAGTTTTTTTTTTTTTATTATCGGTTCTACATAGTTAAAATCATTGTCTCACTACAGTTAAAAAATACAACTAGGATTATAAAACATCTACTTTTATATATAAAAATGTTAAAATATATTTAAAAAATGTAATAGATGGCTATATAGGCGTGTGAAATTCATTCGAATTCGGATAAATAGCGGTTTGACTAAAACAAAATATGGGGGAAAATAATAATAAGCAGAAGACAAAAAAAAAATGAAAGAAGCATTGAAATATACAAAAAAAAAAATTCTAAAGAATTAATTGATGTTATTTTTAGATGAGTTCGAATAAAAAACCAAAAATGTTTAAAGTTTTTTTAAAAATTTAACTGGTTTCCAACAGAAGTTTTTTTTTCGCTCTTTTTTTATTTTATTAGGATATTTAAATGTTCTCAATGATCTTTCGCAAAAAAAAATTAATTTTTTTAAATAAAATTACCATACATCATGCCATTTTATTGAAATATATGTAAAACTATTCGAAAATTAATTAAATTAATTAATTATTAAGTGGTAATCAATTTTCTTTGTAAACTACGTCCCCGCATACTTTTGCATTATATTTTTTGATCTTAGTATAGAAATTTGAGAAATTTTTTATTTTATTAGCAGTCTAATGGAGTAAAATGTAAATTAAATTTTAATACCTGTAATTAATTTGTACGATAATAATGATTTTACAATATCAAATTTTATAAAAAGTAATTAAATGCTTCTATGCAATAAATGGACGTTTTTATTATTCAGATCCTTTCTGTTCTTTTCCGTGCATATGTGTAAGAGTGTGTAATTTGTAAAGAATTATTTTTGGTTTTCTGTTACCAGCTTTAGTATACAGCTATTTCTCATGATCATGCTATCTTTTTTTTTCGAATATTAATTAATTTTTACTGTAATAATATGAAGAAAATAAGTGGCAATTAAATAAAAATTTATAAACATTTCAATTTCGATAATAAAATATATATGCACACATATGACATAATCATACATTCATATATGTACATAAAGCGTTAATTTTGGGCGGTTGTTAATTTTAATTTCTGTTTCAAAATTAAGTTATAAATTTCATACTTACATTTTTAAAATAATTAAAATCTTTCTTATCAGTATAAAATTATTTTCGAATTAATGAATTAATTTGAAAAAAAAATTATAAATATTCAAAAATATTATATAAATTAATTCTTATTTGTTGAATATAAAAAAATAAAATCTACATGGTTTTAATTGAATTTGAATAAAAAATTTGTCCAGCTTTTTTGAATTTTGTTGGTATTTTTAATTTTATATTTAAATGAAAATTTATTTATTTTTTTAATTAATTCTGAACTTAATTCTCTTACATGCACATATTAAAAATAAATATTCTATGGGACTTTGGGATTTCATTTTTCTCCTAGAGTTATTGCGTATGTACATTGCGTATTGAAAAGCAGTAAATATTATGATATTATCAACGTTCTTGAATTAGTGATTCATAATTTTTAAAATAAATTTTCCCTTCCAATACGTCCCAAATTAAGTAGATTTTGTCAATGCTTTGCTAACTGCCATTTTGTATGTTGCAATTCTCAGTTTTAATTTGGAAAAAATTGTAAAACTACGCATTGTCAATAATTATTAAAATATGAAACTTTAATTATTATTACTAATTATTGATAATGACATTAAGAACTAACTGATATTACTAACTGATATTAGGTAAGTTTGTTATTGTAATTATTATGTAAGGGCAACAATAAGCAATTTAAATTATCTTGTCATAAATCTATATAATTACAACTGTATTATCTTTAATAATTTACTTTAATTGTAATAACTATTATATATAGCTAATTATATTATTATTAAATTATTTGAAACGAATAAAAGAACAAATAAAATAGGTAAATTATTGAAAATCTTTCGTTTCTATTATTTATTAATATCATTAAATTATATTTTGTATGTTTTTTCTCATATTGTAATTAACACAATTAACTATGTATGTTTTTACTGGAATTTTATATTTATGTTTTTTTTTTAATTATATGATTACTATTTTATTATAATTTTTTTTAATTTTGATGATTATGATTATGCAGTGCGAAGTATTGTTTAACTTTAATTAACTATAATAAAATGATCAATTCAGAAACATAACACAATAAATCTCCATATAAATATGAATACAGTGGAGTATCGATTAATGGGACGATACAAATTAAAAGATAATAATTAAGTACTAAAAATTAAAATTAAAATGTTGAATAATACAATATAAAATTGTTAGTTTTTGGAATTATATTTTAACTCTGAGCTGTTTTGAAGCGTTTCAGTTTTAAATAATTTTTGTATTGCGATTTGTCAGAAGTGTAGAAGAATTGTGGTTATAGAAATGCAAATGGGAATCTCAAATAATCCTAAAGGTCGAAGTAAAAATGGACTATAAGGTCTTGGGTCCTAAAATAGTAAATAGAAAAAAATCGTGTTTTTGAAAATTTAGTGCAAACTTAATACTTACTATTTTGGCAATTTGTTAGAAAAGAAATTACTTTTCCAGGTCTCAAAAAATGTGTTTTAAAATACAGTACCTACCATTTTATCAATATGTTACTTAAATAAGAACTTACTGGCAGCACGCTCAGAAATTTATTCAAAACGGCAGTCTTATTTTCTTTATCGCTGATTGTGTTGATATTTAGAAAATTGCTATCATTTTCGAACTTTTTTCAAATTGTTGCCGTCTTAAATGTTTCATTTCTGATTAATAAATGCCAAAGGTATTTGCAATATTTTTTCATACCTATGCAAAAAAAATTTTTGATTAAAAATGTAGTTTTCTACGATAAATTATTTCCACATTATACATTCATTAACCGAAAATCAACATTCTCACTTGTTTTACTTATCGAGCATTTACATAATATTACCTTAGCTTTTAGTACAATTACTTCTGTATTTATAAAAATAGTATTACAATTATTATTTTTCTTATAGTTCATATGCAATTTATGCGAAATTCACTTACACACACATAGCATGTATGTAAGTACATTTATAATAATTTACTTAAAGCTCAAAAGGTCATTTACTTAAAGAAAGATTTTTCAATAAAATTTTTAATTAATTTAACATTGGACTGTTGAACATTTTTCAAAATCTCATTTACAAACCTTTGTGTTAATAAGTAATTTTTTATTATACTTAATAAAGTACATATATATTAATGTATATAAGTTGAATAATTGAATTTGTTCATTGTGCATAATGTAATACATAATGTACATATTTACCTAATGTACTTTTGCACATGTTAATAAAATCACAAAACAATTGTATTATATTTGGTAGGTAATTGAAAATGAATATAGATGAATTGAATAATTTTTGCACTGCTCGCAAGTATGGGTAATAATTAATATTTTTTCTGTTTTAGTGCAATTCGTTTGTGCTAATCAAATATTACTGATTATCGATTATAATTTAACATTATTACCTGCAATGAAATTATAATTTAAAGTAATTGTAGGCTATATAGGGTTATTAGCTTCCAACTGTTTGGAATTTTTGTGCCTAAATTTTTAAAAAATTTCATAAATTTAGATGATTGTACCCAACTAGAGTTTTACTTCAAACCAAATTTTTTGACTATATTTAAGAGTTTTATGAACACGGGAAAAATTGTGACAGCGCAGACTAGCTCTTTATTCAATTTTAGTATTAATAAAATGGGAAAAAAATTGATAATAAATTTTACAACTAAGTTTTATTAACAGTTTTTTGGCAGTATAGCAGTAGTTTTTTGTATATAAATACATGAAATATTTTACTTCATATTTAAGATGAGCGAAAAAAATAGGGATTAATTTAATTTAATTTAGAAATTTCTTTCGTTTGGCACAGGAAGACAATCCCTAAGCAAAATGAATTCACTTATTCCACTAAATCGAAAAATATCCAAATAAGTATATTAACGTTTAATTTACGATAATGACAAAAAGGCTGGGTGTTTTGGACATTTGTTTAAAACAAGTGTTATTTAAGTTCTTATATAATATAATTTTAAAACTTATTTAAACTAATTTATTTTAAATATAAATTTCAAAGAAATACTTACTATTAAATCTTAATTATATAGGATTGAAGATAAAATACTTAATGATTGATTGATATTATTATATAAAAATCTTCATTCACATGTTATAAATGCTGATACATACATACATACTTAGTATAAGAGTTTTTTTAGCATAAGAGTTTTACACATAGCTAATTTTTGTTCTATAACT